GGTTTATATCTATTAGATATTCTCTAATGAATATTCATATTCTCTAATGAATAACTAATGAGATTATTTTTGAAGTCCACATTAATTTTAACTTTAATGTTACCATAAATATCCATGCCATCCAAATGTCAGGTTATGTTCTTCTAACTGTAAAAGAGTCTTGTTTCTCAGCAATATTCATTCATTCTTTTTGTCCAGATCAAGAACAATAAACAAAATACAATTTCAAATCTAGCAAACTAAATCATCCTTTCCTTTGCATCAGTGGTGAGTTCCTACTGGTTCGCCCTGGATTGGGGCAAACCAGTAGCGGCAGCGGCGCAGAAGCGTCATTCGAGTGTGCATGCGCGCACAAGCAAACCAGTATCAAATTAAATTGAAACCCACTACCGCTTTGCATCTTGTAATACTTTATATTTAATTCATTATTTTCCCCGTCATATAAATTTAAATGCATCTTTCTGCCATAGTAATGTCTGAAACAAAAATATTATTCTTGACAAAGCATTCACTTTTTTCATAACACGAGTGAAAATTTTAATTTTTCTCATCTTAACATGTCCTTCTTCATTTAAGTCCATGTCTTAAGATTCTATTCCCTTTTAACAGAAGACAAAATCTTTTGTCATCTATCAAACTACTACAATTCTAATGTTATTACCTCCTTATATCAATATGGTACTAACTATGTAGTTCCATTATGGTAGAAGGGAAAGAAAAGTTAAGAAAGACAGAATCCAATTGCTATCTAAGCTTAATGAAGCTTGATCCACAGCTCTGTGAACAGCCGCTCTAGCCTTTCTTTTCATAATACGTTCCAAAAAGTCTGCTAAATGATTAGCGGGTCATACCATACAAAGTCGGCTGTGGTACAGAAGATTTGAATGCAGGATAATCAGTTAATAATTTTCTCTGCTACAGAAATTACTTAGTCAACGTTATGCCACACAAGAAAGTGGCAACATCTAGCTGACTTTGGAAGCTTAGCAGGGTCAGACTATGAATGATATTCTACTGGAAAATTTCAGCATTACAGATTAGACTTGGATTTAAAAAATAAAATAAAATTCCAGGCGGAAGGAAATAGCTATCCACTTCTGAACTCTTACCAAGAATTCTATGTGACATAGACATTGACTTGAGCGAATGTCTACTTTAGTTACACATGTCTCTCCCTATGACTTAGCCATGACATTCAGGGATGTTTTCTATAATTTATGTTAAATTTCTGGGAGATCCAAAGTCTTATGATAGAGATTAGACAGGACAACTCATTATATGAAAGGTATGTCACATGGGCATTTGTCAATCAACTTTATAAAAATCATCGCTCAAAAAAAAATCACAATATTTTCTAATTGATCTTTTAAAACAAATCCAAGCAGAACCAATGTATAAACTATATACTGCTAAAACTGCAATTTGCTGATGAAATGCTATAAACAAACAGGTTAATAAGCTTAACTATTTTCAACTTTGAAGCTTTTTGTGAAATATAAGATATATACATACTAATTAAATTAGTCAATATACTATACTAGGTTAATTATGATACAGAAATCTTCCTGAAGTGTAGTCATTTGTTTGAAAATTGCAAGGTAAATGGCAGCTACTATCAAAGTTATACAAGTCTACTAATACATCCTAAACTAAGCATTCCACTTCAGAAAGAGCGGCATTACACTACAATTCTTTGTTTGCTTCCATTTGACTTGTTAAAAATAGAGGAAGTAAATTTAATCTAAAATATACCATTAGAATTTAAGGGGGAAACCAGGTATTTTTTCTTCAAAAGACATATAACTCAGTTCAAAATAAAGGTTTACATAATTAAACTTGCTCAATTATGTGTCATAGCATTGCTATTTCTTTTTAAAATGTGCCACATTTTTCTAGAACATATGCACTCCAATATTTGATGAAAAAGGGAGGGAGGGGGTTGCCATGGTTAAGTCAGCATCTTTTGTTGAATACTGGAATAAATTGATGCATAGAGCCGACACCCACATAACTTGTCAGCACAAGTTACTGATTTTTTTTTACTTTGCATACGTAACACTAACAGAAATGTGTTAAATATAATTGTTGTTATTCAAACTTCTTTTCTTTGCTTTGCAATCCTTCCAACACCTCATCCTCAGAAAAGCAAGAATAGAATTCTCTGTTGAGTTTTTCTTAGGTGAAAATGTCAGAGGCCAAGTATAAAGCATGAAAAATGTTACCATGGTGATAATATTATAAATTCCTAAGATAAGAATATACGTATCTCCCTTGTGTCAGGAAGCTGTGCTTTAACGGGGCTATAATATTTTTAAGTGGGCCATAAAGTAACACACATCCATAGAGAGATGTAGTTCATTCTTGCCACAAAGAGACTGATTAATTTCTTACGCCGAACAACCGGAAGCAAACTATATGTGTTAGGCTACAACATGATCTCCAATAAGTATGGTCCTTGTAATCAAAATCATTGGGAGGCCCTGGGGAATTCAAGCAAGGGATAAATGAGTCCAACAGGTATGCAATAGAATCATTTATCTTATATCTTTATTTTCTGCTATTTTACCTAGGATGCTAAATTAGGGGCAAATTTTGGATGGCTCTAGGCAGATTGCCTTCAAGTTACATTAAGGTCTGATTTACAATAAGGAACAAAAGGGCACAGAGTTGCCTTATTGGGGACAGGGGCAGCATATAAATGTAATAAATAAATGATTACACTCATTATTTTCAATGTACAAAAATGGCAGCCATAATACTTGTACATGCACAAAACAGAGGCCATCATTCTCTTGCATGCATCCACACATAATGCAACATGCACACAAGAGAATAGGTTTATGCAAGGATTCCCAAAACAGACCTTTGCATAATTGTAGGAATGTCCCTATTTCTTTGTCATCAAATATAATGTTTAGGACAGAAGAGACTTGAAGTATAAGATATAAAAAAGCATCAGGTTACCTCTTTCTACAGCAAGTCATTAATTTCAGCTACCTTCTTTAATAAGCAATAAAATATTTCTGTAAGCTAGTAGTGAAAAATTTGGGGAAACCAGTTATAGTCCTTTTCAAAACTCTCAGAGATTGGAGATGGAAAAATAGTGTGAAAGCTTCAGAAATATTTATCTTGGGTCCCGAACTTAGTACCTAGTGGAAATAATTTGTTCATTAACATCTATCAAGCTCCTAATTTTTAGTTCCTTCCCTCCCTCTTTCTCTTTTCTCCCCACCACTCTTTCCCTCCCTCCCTCCTTCCCTCCCTCCCTTTCTTTCTTGGAACACTGCAAGGCCAATAACCAATCTGAACTATAATATGTATTTCTAATAATGCATCTTGGCCTGGACTTTCTCTTAGAAAACAAAAAGCGGTAATAAGCCAAAGATTTGGTCACCTTCTGTCAATGGCTCTATGAGAATGCCCATTAGCTCTGAATATGTCCATTAGCTCAAAACACTGAGGACCCGTGTTCTATATAATTCATGGATGCTACACTTTATAATATAGACCTGATAAACATTATCAAATGAGTATTTCAAGAATAAGAAGATCTCAAAATGTCCATTTGAATATATAGCATGTTCCCATTTTTTTCATGCAATGTGAAATAGAACGACAGGAGCTAGTGTAGTAACTGAACATATCACAAGGTTGTTATGGAGGGAAAATTTGGAGGAATTGCTTTGTATTCCTTTTATTCCATGAAATAAAAGCATGATATAACAAACAAGCTCATTCAGAAGAGAGCATGCCACTAGGCATGGAAATCTGACTGATTCTTGCAAAAATCTAAGATAGAAGAAAAGACAGAAAAATAGTAAGAGGGAAGCAGAGTGTAAAAAATGTGTATGGCTGGCCTGATCTTTGTATCGGAATAACATTACACCATATACTGTGGGATGTTGAAATTTGACTATTTTTCAAACTGTTGGGTTGTTCTAATATTTGAAAGCAAACTTGGAGTGAAGAATTGCATCATTGATATGGATGCAGATCAGTCAAATGTTTTAATTGATCCTATTAAAGCAAACATTCTTTTGTACATTGCAATTCTTAGGAAAAAGCTGACTTTATTAGTCGAAGTGTAGTGATACTGTTGCAAATAAATACAGTGGAATTTGAGATATAATGATAGGCACATTGTGGGTGTTTAATGAGTAAGGATAGCTAAGAAGCAGCAACAAAGTTGCATTCTTTCACACAGATACCAAAAAAGTCACCCTGAGTCACAACCTATGGAGGAGGGGAGACATAAAGAAGAGACCCCAGTAGTTTAAAGCAGCTTGATATTTCAAATGGTCTTAGCCATGCTTAAGAGGTTATGAATATTTTAAATAATGTTAATATTAAAAGTGTTTTGTAGCACCAGAAGCATAAACTAGAATAACAAACCACATAAGACTTTGCACATTAAACAAGAACGCATCTGTGATCCATGCACATTAATAGAAAGCAATTACCACTGGAGAGAGTGTAAACTACATTGAAACAGGTACCATTCTAGCTGCTAACATTTCCATTTTGCTTGCATACTCAGTCTTTCAGTGACATGTTCATGTCAAAAAGTCCTAATTTGGTTCTAAGTGTGTACAAGAAACGGAGAGATAATGTTTTTAAAAAGCTCTATGAAATATTAGGTTAAATATTCAAATCCTTAGCTCAGTGTGTTTTTTTAAGTTTTCCTATAATGCCTGGAAGCCATACTTTTAGCCTGTCCCCTGTTATTAATTAATTTAATAGACCATTAATATGTTACCAATGCAAGCAGCAATATGGATACCACAGGGCAATGCCAAGACTCTCCTATATGAAAAGAGCCCTCTACCTAGATACTACTGAGATGTAGCCACTTAGAGATTTGAATCCTGATTTGAAATGAAGAACCACATTGCAACTTCTGTCTCTAGCGTCTTTTGAGGGGCATCATACTAACTACAAGTAAAACTAACAGTGTTGCCACAAAATGAGTATGGCAAAAAGAAGCTGGGATATCCACTCACTTGCTCATGTTTCTGAAGAAGAACTGGGCCTCTGGCCATCCACAAAGAAGACCGCATCCACTTGTGTTCTCCTTCATCCATGTCTAATCTCTACTACTCCAGCCCAGAGGAATTGGTGATATCTAAATAAACTAAATCCTTGTGCAGAGGCAACGCAAATTGAGGCATCCCCTCCCTCATTTATATGTCCCCTCTACCTGTAGATATTGCATCCAAAGTACAGATGTGTTCATTCCAAATTAGAGAACAATATTAGCAACATTTCTTGATAGTATCTTTCTGTCCATCCTCCAGTGAGCAAAATTATATCCACTATATTGGCATAAGCAAGGAGTGGCACAAAGATAAGACATTTCCAAGATAAAGAGTGGGAACTTGTGGCACTCCAAATGTTGTTAAGCTACTCTTTCCAGCATCCTTCACCTTTAGACTCACTGACAGGAGAAACTGGTAGTTTACCACATTGTCCTATTGGGAGAGGTTCCCAATGCATGTATGTATGTTCTCTGAACAGTGCCACATGGAGGCCAAAGAGAGAGCACAGGTCTGCAGGTAGCTGCTCAAGCAAGAAGCAACCCAATCACCTCTCCTCCATTCCTCTCTCCTCTCCCTCTGTGTTGCAGAGAAGTAGGTTCTGGGCATAACAAGCCCAATCCTACCTACTGCATTGCCTACAGCAGGATTGGAGGGCAATCAAAGAAAGGGGTTGCTTCCACTCTTTCGGGGAATCCATGCTAAGATTCCCCAAGCAAGAGAAGTCAGAGAAGAGAATTTCCTGCCAAATTCTTCTGACCGTACTATTTTAAAAAGAGAGTAAATAACTGTGCAAGAGTAGCAAGTGATCCTGCTAGCATTTTCCTCCTCTCCTTTCCCAATATCCACAGAAAAATTACAACAGATATGAAAGGAAGATGCCACCACATCCTTTTATCTGTTTGCCTTCCCCCTTTATAAGAAGGGAGCCAGCAGGTCTATCCGGAACAAATGAAGAGAAGCTATCACTGCCTCTTCCTTGAACAGCATCTGGTTTCCACCACTCTGCCTGGGTCACCTAGAGGGAGACTACAAGAGAGTGGAAGGTGGTCGGATTGGGCCCAGGATGCCATCTATGAAGGCAGAAAAAAAAGCAGGTAGTGGCAGCTTCACTCTCTCTCTCTCTCTCTCTCTCTCTGCAGCACCACGGGGGTCCAATTTTCCCTAACCATAAAGATGGCATACTCAATCAGCCACCTCTGCCCACTTGTTCACACCCTCTTTCTTGGTGTCACTGGGATAAGGGCATGATTAAAAAAAAGGGGGGGGGAGGATTGTGGTTCAAAAGGGATTCTGAAGGTATCCACAACCAGGAACTGGTCCTACATGAGGTAAGTTCCTTAAGCGCACCTACCAGGAGAATCTGCCATCCCCCCCCCCACCTTGCCACCTTGATCCCGGCTCAAGCAACCAACCGGCCCCCTCCGGACCCACACAGCTTCGGGGGGGGGGGAGAGGAAAGAGAAAGCTATCAAATCGACGAAGGAGGATCCCTGTCCTCCCTCTCTTGCCTTCATTGCAGCGAAGCTTTCTCCCCTTAGCAACCGCTGCATTTCATCTGGTTACCACCAGCAGCAGCACCCCGAGGCGCCTTCTCTCCTCCGCCGCTCACCCACCGCAACCAAGCCCACCCTCCGTGCCACCGCGCCAAAGGAGCGAGAGAGCCCCGGGAGGAAAAGCAGAGGGGAAAAAGCTACACACCACACACACAACCACATACACACACAACTTCCCCCAAGCCTCGAACCTGCCTTCCCCACCCCGAAAGACAGAGCGCGCGGCGCTTCCCCGGCTAACACACCCCTACAGCAGCGCGACCGAAGAATCAGCAGCAGCAGCAGCAGCAGCAGCTACAGCCACAGCAGCCCCTTCCCCATGCAAGGACGCAGCCTCCGAGAAAATACTCACATCGCAGGGTTGGAGAACGCGTCCTTTTAAGTCTCCGTTGCCTGCAGATAACTGACAGCTGGGATCACGATTCCTACCAAGAGACCGGGGGTCCGGGGTTTATGGGGCGTGGGAAGCTGGAGAAAAGGCGAGGGGAAGTGGGGTAGGGCGGCAGCAGGATGGCGACCGACCCCCCCTCCGGTCGTAGCTCCCCTCCCCCATTCTAAGACCACGATGCGGATACCCTTCAGGAGCACATCTGGGCAACACTTCCTTTCCCCTACGCGGCCGTCTGGAGAACAGGTACCTTGTCAGCTGAAGTCTCTCCGTTTGCCAGAGCCCCACGGCAACCACCCCAAAAGAAAGCTCTTCATCCAGTAAATCCTTGCGGAGCCGGCAGCCAAGCGAAGAAAGGGGGCTCCTGCCGCCGCTGCCGCCGCCGCCACCGCCACCAGAGCCGCGGGAACCGCGAAGCAAAAGAAAAGGGGGGCGAGCCACCCTCTTCCCCGCGCATCTGTCAGAGCCGGGGCGCAGGAGCGAGACTCACAAAGGCGCGCGAGCAGGGCTGCTTTCCATCGCCGCCGCGGCGACGACTGGCCACGAGGAGCGCGGAGGCGGCGGAGCCTTCCCGCCCCCCAAACCCGGCAAGGCTCGCGGCTGGGGTTTCCTCCCGAGCGGCGAGGGCCTCCTGGAGGAGGAGGAGGAGGAGGAGGAGGAGGCGTCGCTCCTACACAGGTGCTATGGCTGCAGCCGACTGACAGACGGGCAAAGAGCCACGGCTGCTGCCGCCACCGCCGACATGTGGCCGAGCCTCCTTCGCCTTCACCGGTTCCTGAGGGTGGCAGCGAAAGCCTTGAAAGAGAGCTCCGCGTCCGTCGGAGGCAAACGGGGAAGGACACAAGACGACCGCCTACAAACCACCTCCCCCCGGGAAGCGCCGTCCGTGGCGGTCCTGGTCAAGAGGGCGCCGGGCAACCAGGGACTTCTCTCCTCAGGGGAGGGGCGGCCGGGGGGGAGGAAGAAAGGGAGAAGTAGCTGAAGTGGGTCCTCCAAAGCCCAGGCGCGGGGGCGGCGACGCTGAGGGGGAGGGGGCCGCTTGCACGTCGGATTGCCGGGGAGCTGGGAAGCCGCGAAGCTCCCTCACGGGGAGGGAGGAGGCCAAGTAGCAACAGCAGTTCCCGCCCCCACCAACTCCGCGTCAGAGCTGTTCAGCAGCCGCCGCCGCCGCCGCCTCTCCTCGGGCCCTTCCCCCGCTTCTTCCCGAGAGTTTTTTTTTTTCCCCCAACGTGGGGGGGGGGGGGGGGAGAGAGAAAGAGAAAAACGAAGTGGGCGTGAGGACGGTGTAGCAACGCCGCGCGGATTCTGCCGCCTTCCTCCGTGCTCTGCACGTGGCCGCCCGAGTCCCGCAGCAAAGCACACGCCCCTTTTTCTCTCTCCCCCCCTCCCCAGCTTTGCTCGGAGCTGCACCTTGACGGTTCAGTTGCGGTATCTTGATCCGGGCGTCGTAAGGCAGATCGGGGCTACCCTGCTTCCTCGCTTCCATCCCTCGGGAGGTGGAAAGAGAGATGGGGTGCCACCGTCCTGGTTCTCCATCACTTGCCGGCCACCTCTTAATTCTCGGGGGTGGGGGTGGGGAGGATTATCGATGGCAAGATTTGGACGAACTAAACAGATTAGGTGAGTGACGGATTGGTTCCCGTTGCCCTAAACCGAGGACTAGGTATTGTTGCTTCGCCCAGCTCCGTGCATTGCATCCACCATACTAGCAGAAGATTGGGGTTTTGGTGCTGCAGATAATCCAATCCCAGTTGCTTTGCCTTTGCATGTGGTCCTGGCAATCTGTTTATCGGGGGAGAAGTCAGTTTAGAGGCTTCTGTCTGATAAATCACTGTCATTGCACTGGGTTTTTAAGGACATCCTTAAAACCATAATGGTGAAAGATAGGTGCTAGTGTTGTCATTTTCAAGGTGTCTGCTTCCTCTTAAAGATTCCTAAGAGGCTAAGACATCTGAACTGGTGCTGATGCTTGCGGTCTGTTCACCCACCACAACAGCTCTTAGGGTACAGTTTAAATAGTTGATCACATATATGATTCCCCCCCCTACCTTTTAAATAAGAAAAACCACCCTTTTTATTTACTCCAGTCAGAGGGTGAATAGGCAACAGAGTAAACTTAATACACTGTGTGATAATATTATATATAGCTTTTTATAAAAATAGCTGTCTTTTTTGTCCTTAATTAAACAAGACAAATAAAAAAATGGAAACAATTTATAAATATATATTTGACTTCTCATCTCTATGCATAAAGATTTACACCACAGTTTCACTAAAGGTTGAACATATATCATTATATTTATCGTACATAGTCCACACTTATAAGCAACCATTCATAAGTCACAACATAGGGCCTTCAATCCACTGAGTAATTAGAGCATAAATTTATCATTCCTAAATTGAAAAATAAGTCTCTTGTTATTCAACAGAGGCATGAAGTATCCATTTCCATTGTCCAGTCTTCAATTTCAATTTAGTAGGTATATAGTTCAAAAAATATGGACATCTGAAAATATTAAATCCTTTCAAATTACTCAAATTAATATACTGATCTTAAAATTTAGCTGTTTTCACCTATGAAAAATTGGAAAGTATGAAGCGCACGCATCTATTTACCTCATGAACTAATGATGTTCAAATAGTGAAACTTTCCTACCAATCACACACAACTAAGAAAAACAATGCACTGTCCTGAGGAAAGAAGGAAACCATCAATTTACTTCATTAATACATTGTGCTATATCATAAAAGTAATTCGTTTGACTTGGATTACTTCTAATTTATATGGTTTAGCATGAGGAGATTAGAGAAAGTTGCAGGGAGCATCTTCACTAGTTTGCTTTCTGCTAAAGACATTTTGTGATTGGGCATATTTGGGCAGCCATTTTTGGAATGAGTAGCCCTCACCAGTGAAAATGAGCAAAACTTGTACTTGAAATTCCCAAATGCCCACTGGCCAAAATGGCCTGAAATCCCTACGGTATATGCCAAAAAGATGATATAGTTGAAGATATTATCCTAGCTATTTATGAATGCCTGAATAATTATCATGTTTGCAGTATGATTGTGAGAATAAGAGTACATTTAAAATGCTCACATGCAATGTAATATGTAAAACTTAGGTGATAAGCAGCCCCCTTTGGGATATTTCACATGGAACAACATTTCTACACAGCACTGCAGAAATTGTAAGATTTTGTTGGAGACCTACATGAACTTTTATAAGAGAACAGTTATATTTGAATAATTTAAGCCTGAGCCTGAAGAGATTGGAATTATGTCATCTTTTTT